GAAAAGGGAGGTTGTAGAAAATGGGAGTGCTAACAAGTGGGGAAAAGCCCTTTTGTGCAGCTCCAAGCTGGCAGGGAGAGGGGTGCCCATAGGAACTGGGTTGAGTTCATAGAATAGAATCACAGAAACACCAAGGCTGGAAAAGACCTCCTAGATTATCCAGTCCAACCATCCACCTACCACCAATATTTGCCCACTAAACCACATCCCTGATGATCTCTAAGGTCCCTTCCAACCTAAGCCAAGTGTTATCCTTATGGGACCTGAAGATGGGACAAGTTGGATCAGGAAAGAGAATGTGGGACCTGAAGAGGGGACAAGAAGTTTCACCACTTCAAGGGTGAATGTCGCCCATGTTAGGCACCAAGGGAATACGCTGGGATTTGGCTTTATCAGCCAAAAAAGAAGTAGCCAAAAAAGAAGAGTTGGGGAAGTGGCCACTACCAGTGCTGCTCCAGGCTCCATCCCTGCACCATTGGAGCATTTAATGGGAAATAAATCATGCTGTGAGCTCAACCACCACCACTCCATGCTGGGAGCCCTCCAGAACAGGGGGAGATTTGGGGCTTTTTCCATCTTTTCTTCCCATGGCATCAGGAGGGCCCATCTGTCCTCTCCTTGCCCATTACACGAGGGCCATCCAGGCTTGCACAGCTTTCACTCATTTCCCATTTTTCTCCTCCAAAACACTTGTGTAAGGCCTTTGACACGGTCCTGTACCACATCCTTATTTCCAAACGGGAGAGATTTGGTTTTGAAGGGCAGATAAAGAGCTGGTTGGATGGTCGTAGCCAAAGGGCTGTGGTCAATGTCTCCGTGTCCAGGTGGAGCTGGTGACGAGTGGTGTCCCCCAGGGGTCCATCTTGGGATCTGTGCTCATCTTTATCAGTGACACAGACGGTGGGATCGTGTGCACCCTCCTTCCAACCCCAGCTATTCTATGACTCAACATTACCATCACTACGTCGTTAGAAGGCATTTTAATGGCTGTGCAGGAAACCTCAGCTTATGCCTATGGACAGGCGCCATCTTCTTGCAGGCAGCTGCAAAATCACTTTTTCCCTTTACACGACAGAGGTAGGTGATGAATTGGGTGTGAGAAAGCTCAGGTTAAATGCTCGAGATCTTCAGTATTCTGTCGTGTTTATTTTTTTTTTAATGAAGAGGTAGAAGGCATATTTCATGCCTGTGCTTGCTTAGAGCATGGTGCAATGCACATCCAAAGGACACTGAAGGGCTTTGTTTGCTGCTGCTGAGATTTGGGCTTTGAATGCGTGAAGCGCCCTGAAGACATTAAATAAAAAATGAAGAAACTGTGTTTGTGCTCTTCCATTCCCCACCCATGGACTCCATGATCTACAAGAGTGACATTCAACTATTCTGTGATTCTATGACTCTATGATTCTTTAAGCTGAGAATCTACAACGTTTTCCCTGCAACTCTGAGCACAATTCCTTCATTCATGCAGGGGGAGGAAGAAGAATCCCCCCCACTTCTTCCAGGCAAAGCAATGGTTGTGTGCAGTACAAGGAGTTAATTCTTTGGAGCCATAAGGTTTTCTTCCAAGGCACCAGCTTGAGTCACACCTTGTTTTTTCTGGATTAACTTCATAAAGTTGGTGGGAAGCTGCTACGATCGAGTTCCCCGCTGGAGAGCAAGCAGCAAGCATCAGGAACAGCAGTGTGCTGTTTGCACCTGGACTCCTCCAAATATTGGGTGGAAGCAGGGTTATTTTGGAGCACTGGAAGCGTAACAGAGGTAGAAGGCAGGAAGGAGAAACCCGCAGGAGAGAGGAAGAGGATTGAAATGGTAAACTGGAGGTGCAGTTTGGGGCTTGGGTTCTTCCTTGGCTCTGGGAGCCCAGGAAGGGCATGGCTGAAAGCAGCACAGACCTGGAGTGTTTGGGTTTGTTTGCGTTGGGTTCAAGCCTTGATTTGACATTCAGATTAAAGAGTGAAAGAACTCAAATTGCAGCCAGAACTGACATAAAAATAAAAGCAAAGGGTGTAGCCCCAGCAGAGCCAGCTGAGGAGTTGCATAGAACTGAGATTCAGACCACCTCCTTCCTTTTCAGCACTCCCCAAACTCTTTGCCAACCCATAGGTACCGAAAGCAGCACTGGCCAGTCCCTATAAACTCAGTGTAAATTAAGGTTTGGGGACAGTCCAAGTTTTCCAGCCCCTGTTGGTCCTGCCAGTTGGGAAGAGCAAGAGAAGAGCAGATGTGGCACGGAGGGACATGTGGCATGGAGGAGATGGGTTGATGGTTGGATTTGATTATCTTAGCTGTCTTCTCCAACCTTAATGATTCTAAGTCACACAGATGAGATGCATACAGCTTGCAGCACATAAGGCCACCTTGGGCCCTTCTTTCTTAGACATGTAAGAGAAACAGTGCAAAAATAACCAGAGGAGCCCATCCAAGCCCCTTACACTGCTGCTGCCAAAGAGGGTTAAAAGCATCATCACAGCTCCCAGAGCAGCTGGCAATTCATTACCTGCAGTGTGATGCTACATGAGACAGCAGGACAACTTGATGGGACAGTGTGCCACATCTATGCTCTCCATGAAGTCTTGTGGGTGATTCCAAGTCGTCCACATGTGTCTCACATCAAGCAGAGCTGTGCAGCAATGCTCTGGGGATGGATCAGCAAAAGCAGAGCACTGAGGATGGCAATTTGTAGGTCAGAACAGACTGCAATATAAACGTTACCCCTCTCATCTAGCTTAGATGCCCATTTTAGGGCAACACTACCTTCAAAGCTTCTGATTTTCATTTTAATTTGGGGTTGCTGCAGAGATTTCCAGCTGTCTAGGAAATCTATACTTGCAGCCAGGGTGACTCTGTTACTCCTGCAGGAACTGCCCCCAAAAATTGCAGTCCAACATATTAACAGAAGCCAAAACTTTACATTGGTTTAACCTTGCATTTACTTTGTCTTTGAGCTGTAAAATGCATTGGCTCAGAAGATGTCTCACAGCCAGCTGAGAAATCCCTGCAGGATTTAAGGAACTGAAGGCTGGATAGGATGGATAAAAGATTAAGAGCATCACCGTGGTCTCAGGTCTGCATCCATCATCAGGGTCTCTTAAAACCAAACTTCACAAAAACTTACTGTGGAGGAAAAAAATGAAGATGACAGAAAAAGGAACCGGTCATTTTATTCTTGGCTGTTCCAGGAGCCTTTTGTACACTGGAAGCTTGGATTTTACCATCTCACCATTTCACCAGCTTAGGCTACGTTAAAAAAGCAGTGAGGATCTGAGATGGAATCAAGAGGAAGGGTTTTCATCCCAGAATACTGAAAGGTGGGTGCTTTCCTAATACAGATTTATCTGTAAGGACAAGCATTTGAGGCAGAGGAAGCTTGTGTTGAAAGATATAATACAAAACCTTTATCTTAACAACCACAGGGGTGAACTCCACTCCAGAGCTTCCCTGAGCTTCTTGGCAACTTCACATTTCTTCTGTGGCAAACATAAAACTCTGGATAGAATAATAAACAGATAATCCCATAAAAAGCACAGTCTCAGAAGGTTTCCTGTCCCAGTTCTGCACGGTATCACATTGCCAAAAAAAAAGAAGAAAAAAAAAAAAAAAGCAACAAATGGGTTTGTGGGGCAATGAGCATAGCCAAAAAAAATCTAAAAAATAATAATTTGTTGGTCACCATTAAAGTGCATTCAGTTCCATTTCAGCTCTTGAACTCTGTGCTCGTGCTGTTTTGCCCTGTCATGGTAGCTGCAGACAGAAGGCAAGCTACCATTCATCCTGCACAGCATGAAGGATGTTGAGAGCCCTGAGTTCTCTTGATCCCACGTCAGCCAGAGGATTTCTTGACCTTTACTGTTATTTAGAAGAGGAATTTGCTCTCATCACAGCGCTAAGGACCTGCTGCCAGAGAGCTCCATCCCTTTCACCCTGTGGTATGGAACGTCTCATCTGGAAGGAAGATGACAATTTTGGCTCTGCTTATATAAATGTCACCCTGGAGGTTTAAATCACCCAAGTACAAAGCTGCAAAGCACCTGCTGGAGCCAAGAGACTCGAGCACAACACTCAGCAGCACAGCACTCCTGCTGCCAACCTCCATGAGGTTCCAGAACCAAGAAACAAACTCAGAAGGGTAAAAAATCCCAAATCCCAGGGCAGGGCCCTACTATTGCCTCTCACATGTGGGTCAATGCCACAGGGATTAGGTGTACCACTGCTTAAGGGATGTGCCCTTGCCATACAGAGTTCTGTACTTTGGGCAACACTGGGCAACATATCTGCCTCTTATTGCACTTCAAAGCAACAAATAGGTCGCAGTGGCTCAGTGAAAGTGGAAAATATTCTTTGGGACCAGCTGTCTGGAAGGAAGCTCTTCCTGGGACATGCAGACAGACCTGTCTCCTGCTTGGGCTTCAAGGGGAGACATAAAGACATCCTATAGGAACACGACAGTACAAGCTGGCTCACCTTCAGCAAGGACTGGGGACTTAATTTGCCTCCAGCTGGAGCACACAGGTCACTCAGGACTTGTTACTTGGCATTGACAGTTATCACTCCAGTTATTAACAGAAAGGTGGGCTCCAGTGTTCCCAGTTCAGAGACATGCACATCCATAAGCAGAGTATCACCTCCAAATCCCTTTGCAGGCAGTGGGAACAGGTGTCCCAAAGAAGCTGTGTATCATCCAAACACAGGCATCTAAAACAGGAGGGATGAATCATGCTCTGGAAGTATCTATTTCTCTCCACTGCCTGCAAAGGGAGTCTGGCTGGATCGTACAGAGATGTGTTTAGGTTGGAGACAGCTAAAATTAGGCAAGATAAATCCCATGCACAGAGCAAGCACTACATCCTGAAATGCAGCGACAGGCAAACAGAACACCCTGGGAGAGGCTGCAGCTCCAGAGCAGCACTACACCTTGCCTAAGGTTGTCTGTGCTCAAACAATTCCTCACAGAGAAGAGGAAGGGATGGGAAGCGCTGCCTCATAAATACTATTTACACCAGTTTGCTTAAATTAAAACTCATTTCTTGTGGGGAGGTAGAAGAGAAAGAGATGGATACTTCATGTTGTGCAATCAGTGTCCTTCCCAGCCACCTTGGTGCCTGTCAGTTGTAGGACAGGTACTGGATTAACCTCTGAGGGATGTTGAGTTTGGCAATCTTCTCCAGCGCTCGCTGCCCAGCAGCCCTCCTCACCGTTACTCTGCAGAGCTGTGACAGACTCAGAGGTGTTTCTAAACGGAGAAAAGAGGACACAAAGTTAATGCTGCAGCTCAGCAGATGGCTGAGTGTCCATCTGTGCATGCACTGAATCATCTGCTGTGGTCCACAGGTGCCATTCAAGACTCAGATTGCACTGAGCCTCAGCAATGGCACACGTAGGAATAAAACCTACTTCCAGCACTGCTTTACTGCTTTGCTTCTCCACCTGAGGGCTACATCGACTGCTTGCTCTGCTCAGAGCTCCAATAAAGTGTTTGATCCCCTTTCAGACAGCCCCAATCTGCAGCCTCCACCCCAGACGTCGATGCCTGCATGCACGTGCATGGTTATGATCAGGCATTTTGCTCTGGATGGAGCTAAGCAGCTGCTGTCCCTACAATCACATCCTCAATAACCAGCAGCATCCAAGATCACCATCTGTCCTGAATTTAATGATGCAAGCTGCAAAAAAATAATACTATTAGAGTTGTCACAGTACTGTTACAACAATATGTGTTAAAAAGCAGCTAGACAGGCAGTTCTGCCAGCTGAGTTGTCAGGGCAGTAAACTCTAACAAGGTATAACAATTATTTATGGCACTGTAGAGCTCAGCCTCTTTACCCAGATCAGCTGCAGCCAGAACAGCACGCTTTGCTGCAACCTGAGAGCAATTCAGAGAGACTCCTATAAGAGAATCATCAGTCTTAAGGTGCTCACTACAAACAGGATTGCATCCACAGCCTCTCTGGGCAGCCTGTTCCAAAGCTCCTCACCACTCTCTGTAAAGAACTTGCCCCTGATATCCAACCTAAATCTTCCCTCCTTCAACTTCAAACCATTTCCTCTTGTCCTGTTGTTATCTCGTAAAGAGTTGACTCCCCTCCTGTTTGTAGGCTCCCTTCAGGTCCTGCAGGCTGCACTGAGGTCACCCCACAGCCTCCTCTTCTCCATGCTCAACAAGCCCAGCTCCCTCAGCCTGTCTTTGCAGGACGTGCTGCAGCCCTCTGCTCATCTCTGGGGCTCCTCTGGCCCCTCTCCAACAGCTCCCTGTCTTTCTTGCACTGGAGGCCCCACACCTGGACGCGGTGCTGCAGATGGGGCATCACGAGGGCAGAGCAGAGAGGGACAATCCCCTCCTGTCCCTGCTGCCACCCCTCTGCTGATGGAGCCCAGGACACCATTTGCTTTCCAAGCTGTAAGAGCACACTGCTGGCTCACGTTCAGTTTTCCACCTACCAGGACCCCCAGGTCCTTCTCTGCAGGGCTTCTCTCAAGGACTGCTCCTCCCAGTCTGTAGGGATGCCTGGGATTCCTCCAGCCCAAGTGCAAAACCTTGTACTTTTAGTGCAATAGCACTGGCAGCCACTGAATTCCCAGGGCAAGGGATCACATTTCACTCACTTTCATAGTACTCAAAGCATTTTGCTGTGGGACTGCTTCTCAGGGTGTAATCTGATGGCTTCTTTCCTCTGTTGTCTCTTGCGTAGATATTTCCTCCAAACTCAATCAGCATCTCAACCAGATCCACGTTCTTCACTTTTGCTGCATGGTGGAGGGCTGTCTCATGGAGTTTAGCAGCATTCACATTCGCCCCTGAGACCAGAAAGGAAAACAAACCTGTGTATGAAAGCCTCATTTGACCCAAACGTTAAGGAGTGGTTTTAAGTAGGGAACAAAATCCTATTAACACAAGTATGAGTGGCTAGAAAGAGATCCAAACCAAACACTACAAACAGGAAACCATACTGCTGAACAAGTTCTCAGTGCTGCCAGTGCGTGAGTTTTCTTCTCTGGCTTCGTTTTCTTTGTAGAGAAAGGATTTTAGTCAATGTTACTGAGTAAATAAGCTGCTAAGTGTGAAGTTCAAAAGTGCTTCCTGAACCTATGCTGCCTGAAGCCATTCCCAGTCACCCCAGTGGAGTGCTCACACACAAACAGTGATGTCCTTGTTAAGCACTGGATGTAGAAGCTTGCCATCAGACACTACTGCAGGATCAAGTCTTTTCTGGGGAATCAGTCAGTCCAATCTGAAGGTGGGTGCCCAAAACAAGGAGCTGGAGGGATAGAAAACAGATTGGCTTAGCTACAGAAGTTCTAGACAACTAACACTGAAAAAGCCAAATCCTCCCTGGGTCAAATCACTTCATGGTGAGCACAGGCAAATACGAGAAGCCCAGTTCCAAGTGAGCAGCATGAAAAGTGGAAGATGAAATCTGGAGTTGTGTAATGCTGACTTGAAATCCAGCAAACTCACCTAGGTATAACACTAAGCAGATCTCCCAGAGGCATGAGGTGACCTCATCTCTGCTTTCTTGCACAACATCAAACCCTGACATCTCTCTCTAAGATTTATGCAAGGCCATACGACTGTGTCAACAAAACTGAAAGTGTGTATTCTAGCTGCTATCACTGAAATGTTGTTCCAGGGGGCTACAGGGGTGCTGATTTTCATTGAAAAAAGGAGAATGGAATGAAGCTTTGCCCGACTGAATGCCAAACTTTCCTCCTTTACCATCTTTGCCATGCTGGGAATGAATAAGCTCTTGGGCAAGAGCGTCATAGTGGAGCACCAAAAGGGAAATGCTGCACACAGTCAGCCCAAAACAAACCCCACAGCTGCCCTACCTGCCTTAAGCAGCAACTTCACACAGTCCAGATGCTCCCGGGCACAGGCCACGTGTAGGGGTGTCCCAAAATGGCAGTCGTGAGCCTCCAAGTTGGCACCGACGTCTATGAGGAGTTGCACACAATCTGAGCTGCCTTTAGAAATAGAAGATCTGAGTCAAAAGGAAGAATCCAGCTCAAATAGATGAGATCAGCTTGAGGCACGAGCAGCTTGTTTAATATTTGAGGCGATGGGTGCAAAATAGAAACACTTGTGAGCCATATGCTATACCATAGGACAGAGGCTGAGAACAGGGCACAAGAAACAGCTACATCTGCACAGCATTAAGCTAGAGCTAATGATCAAACCAACGTGATTCCGAGGGCTGGCACTAAGCAGCCTGTGGTTTGCAGAATTGGTTGCATGGCTGAATTAGCCCAGGGTGGATGAGATCACCTTCGAGACCACAACAGCCTTCATTTTTCCATGTGACTTAAGGCACTCAACAGCACAGTCTTAGGAAAAAGGCTCAACAGGAGAAAATGAAGCAGGAGCTGACAATTTACAATGGCTGCTGCAGTTTTCCTCTCTTGAGAAGATGGTGTTTTATCTGCCTAAGATCTGATCCCCTGCCCATCACGTGGGATGAAAGCACCCAACACAAGGGGCTGCTTTATTCCCCCAGCACCACTGTGCTTTGCATTCTGAGTTCATTTTCCAAGCTGCAAATAACTGTGCAAGGATAAGACCACGCCAGCTTACCGTTCATGCAGGCTTCATGAAGAGGGGATGCTGTGTACAGGGGAGGGTTCACTTTGGCACCATGGGAGAGCAGCACTTTCACACACTCAATGCTCCCTGAGGCACAGGCGTCACAGAGTGGAGTGCTGCCATCAATATTCCTGGCATCCACCTCCAAGGAAGAAGAAATCATAGAATCATAGAATGGCCTGGGTTGAAAAGGACTGCAATCATCATCCAGTTTCAACCCCCCTGCTGTGTGCAGGGTCACCAACCACCAGACCAGGCTGCTCAGAGCCACATCCAGCCTGGCCTTGAATGCTTCCAGGGATGGGGCATCCACAGCCTCCCTGGGCAAATGTTACATGCTCACCTTACGTGAGCTGCTGTGGAGGAGCATCCTCTTGACTACATTTTTAATGTTATTACCCCTAGCACTATCCTGAGCTCAGGAAATAGCTGTTGACACTCCCAGCATCCTGGCTGGTGCTGTTTCTATCACACCCAGGGTGTGTTAACATCACAGAATCATAGAATGGCTTAGGTTGGAAGAGTCATCATATCATAGAATCATCACAGAATGGCCAGGGCTGGAAGGGACCTCAAGGATCATGAATCTCCAACCCCACTGCCACATGCAGGGCCACCAACCTCTCCATTTAATACCAGACCAGGCTGCCCAAGGCCCCATCCAACCTGGCATTGAACACCTCCAGGGATGGATGGGGCATCACAGCCTCTCTGGGCAGCTGTTCCAGCACCTCACCGCTCTCTTTGTGAAGAATTTCCCCCTGACATTCAACCTAAATCTCCCCTCCTTCAATTTCAAACCATTTCCCCTTGTCCTGCTGTTATCTACCCTTCCAAAGAGTTGAAGAAGACCATCAAGCTCCAACCTCCTGCCATGCACAGGGTTCCTAGCCAATAGATCAGGCAGCCCAGGGACATCCTGAACACTTCCAGGGATGTAAAAAATAGCCACCACAGTTTAGGGTGCTCCCTCTCTCCTAATGCTTCCCTGTTGCTCTCCTGTTGAACATTACCAGTGCTGCAGCTGAGCCAGCACAGCACGATGTACAAGTACTCCTTGTCTGTGCCAGTGCAAAGTCCTGCTTTGTGATGGGCTGAATATGCAATGAGGAGCACAGCACACACACATGTGATCAGTTTCACCAGGTTCACTCTGAGGACAGCCAACCTCAGCGTGTGAGATGTCACAATCCACTGAAGACTGTTTCAGCAGATTCTTCTCTGTGTAATAAAACTAAAGTAAGAAGAGAAGAAACTTAAGAATAAGCCTAAATCCAATCATGTTCCCCGCTCCACTCTTAGCCTTATGACCACAGAATCGTTTGAGTTGGAAGGAACCCTGAAAGGTCACCTAGTCCAACTTCCCTGCAATGAACAGGGACACCTACAGCTCGATGAGGTGCTCAGAACCCCATCCAGCCTGACCTTCAGCATCTCCAATGACGGGCCATCCACCAGCTCTCTGAACCCTGACTCATCCCAGCTGGCTTTAGGTACTTGAGTCATCTCAATTAGATTACCCCAGGCTCTGCCAATAGTCAGCGTGGAGAGTGGGGGAGAGAACAATCTCCAGGAGGTTGTTTAAATCTCTCACAAGTTCCAATACCCTCTGAAGAGGTGTGCCTCCCTTTGCTGACTATCAGGAAAGCCCAGGATGACTCAGGCTGCCTCTTCACAGAGATCACAGGATGTTTTCATTTGGAAGGGTCCTTTAAAACTAAGTTTCAGCTCCCCTGCTATAGGCAGGGACACCTCCCTCTTAGATCAGGTTGCTCAAAGTCTCTCTTCGACCAGGTTGCCTAAAGTTCCACCCAGCTTGGCTTTGAATGCTACCAGGGAGAGAGCATTCACAATTCTTAACATACTAACAAAATGTTCAGAGCCAGATGGAGTGAATCCAGACCCCAGAAATAAAATCAGACATCAAAACAAAGTGGACTTTGAGGCATTGTTTTTTTAGGTTAGGACAAAACCTGGCTCTGAGCTCTGATTGAGCTGTAGGTGGCCTTGCTTACTGCAGGAGAGTTGGACTGGATAATCTTTAAGGGTCCTTTCAAACTCAAATGATTCTACAATTCTGTGGACATCATCTTACAACAGTACTTGGGGCTCCTCTTGACCTCAGTGCAAGACGAGAGCGTAGCAACAGCACTATAGCTACAGCACAGACCACGGAATCACAGAACAACCCAAGCTGGAAGAGATCTATAAAGATCATCAAGTGCAGCAAGTACCCATCTACAGCATGGTGGCTTGGTTTCCACGTGGATCACAACTGAGCACTCACTTGGGCCCCTGCAGCCAAGAGGAGTTTGACACACTGCGTTTGCCCTCGCAGGCTCGCCTCGTGCAGGGGAGTGATGGAGTCGTAGGTGACGGCGTTGACGCAGGCTCCGTTCTCTATCAGCTGCTGCAGCTGAAGGATTTCTCCCTGCCTGGCTGCTTCGTGAACCGGGGTTCGATCAACCCAGAAGCCTACAGAGGAAAAAAAAGATAAATGATTTATTATTATTATTATTTTTAAATCCACGTGCAGGGGAGATACTGCGCTGGAGAAAAGCAGCTCTGCTGGAATGGGAAAACAGGCTCGTAGATTCACAAACACAGATTGGCTTGGCTTGGAAAAGACCTTAAAGATTATATAGTTTCACACCCCTAAGAAGAAAGAAATGGGAATAAAAAACTTATTTCTTACTGTATCCCCAATCCAGCATGCAATGCTTTGCACTGGGGGCTCTCCATTGGGCTGCTCATAATGCTGCATTCCCTTCCAGTATTTGCTTGAAGCTTTCCTCCACAAACAAACCCTCCAGCAGGTTTAGATTCACCCCATGGTGTTCACACCTAACCAGCACTAGGAGCAATGTCCTTCCTGTCTCCATCTAAAATCACTGGAAATGGGATGTCAACGATGGGAAAAGCACAGTCCCACCTATTTTCACACTTCCTTCAGTCAGGTAAGCTTGTCCTCTCTACAAAGGCACATGCCTCAGTGTTCTGCCAAAGCAGGGTTTATAGGAGCAGTCTGGTGCTGCTGGCTTTCAGGTCAATGACAACAACAATTGGCAAATGACACCTTAAAACTACAGCTCCTCCCAAACTACCTTTCTGTAGAACCTGTTTCAAGGCAAGCACTCACAGCTGTGGAATGGGAGAGAAAGGGCAGAGATGAGCAGAAGCCTCAGTTTACACAATTTTGAGGATGATTTCATAGAAATGTTTGAGTGGGAAACGACCCTTCAAGGCCATCCAGTCCAACTGCTCTGCAATGACCATGGACACCTGCAGCTCCATCAGGTGCTCAGAGCCCCATCCACCCTGACCTTGATGGATGGATGGAGCATCCACCTACTCTCTGGGCAACCTGTTCCAGTGCTTTACTACCGTTCCTGTAAAATACTTTTTTTTCCCCTTATCTCTCTTCTAAATCTCTCCCTCTTGGCATATTCTGCCTGTTTCTTGGGGAGATTTAGGAAGACCTTGCACTTGGATTTATTGAACCTCACGAGGTTCTCCCGGGTGCACTCCTTGAGCTGTCTGGGTCTCTCTGGATGCCATCCCATCCCTCAGGCATGTTGACTGCACAACACAGCTTGGTGTCATCTGCAATCTTGCTGAGGGTGCACCTGATGGCACCACTGATGTCCTTGATGAAGATATTAAGGAGCCCCAGTCCCAGCACTGACCCCTGAAGGACAACACACGACACTGATCTCCATCTGGACACCGCAGCGTTGACCACCACTCTCTGAGCACAACCCCATCACCACCAAAGGGTCCACCCATCAAATCCAAATCTTTCCCACGTGGAGTTAAAGGCTCATAGAATCGTTAGGGTTGGAAGGACCACTAAGATCACCCAATCCAACCATCAACCCATGCCTCCAGTGCCACATCTCCACGATCTTTCAACACCTCCAGGGATGGTGACACCACCCCCTCCTCCCCTCCTCATCCCCCCGCCTCCCTGGGCAGCCTGTTCCAACCCCTGACCCCTCTTTCAGAGAATAAACTGCCTTTAATACCCAACCTGTGCTTCCCTGGCACATCTTAAGGCCATCACCTCTCGCCCCACCAGCAGTACAGTATCTCCCATAGGACGGTTAATCAGGGCCCCATCGCTCCCCTCCCTTCCCTGACCCCAAATCCTCCCCAAAACACAAAACAACCGCCCTCTTTCCTCCCCTCCACACAGCCCATCCCTGCTCCCCCGGCCCCACGCACTGATGTCACCCCGCAGCGAGCCGCTGCCCCCGGGGATCGCCATAGCCCCAAAAGCGCCGGGGACGATCCGGTGTTCAGCGGTCCGCCCAGGAACCGCCCCACGCTCCGCCCCGCAACGCACCGGGGGACGCTGGGAGACGTAGTGCGGGGGGAGGAGAAAAGGGGGGCACTGGTGTGTATGGGGTGAAGGGGGTACTGGAATGGGGAGAGGGAGGGCTGGTGTATAGGGGGGTACTGATGTGGGGGGAGAGTTGTTACTGTGGGGACTGGTGTGTGTGGGGTCAGGGAGAAGGGACTGGGGTCAGTGGTGGGGGGTGAGAGGGAGTACTGGGGTCACTGGTGTATAAATGGTAGTGATGTGGGGAGAGGAGGGGTAAGGGGTACTGATGTGTGGGGAGAAGGGGGTACTGGAGGTACTGGTGTGGGAAAAGGGAAGAGTGGTGTATGGGGGGGTCAGTGGTGTGGGGAGAGAGGGGATTGGGGTCAGTGGTGTGGGGTGAGAGGGGGTACTGGAGAGACTGGTGTGTGGAGGGGGGGACTGGGGTCACTGATATGTGGGGAAGGGGGCACTGAAGGGATTGATGTGGGGAGTGAGGGGTCTGGGGTCACTGGTGTGGGGTTAGAGGGGTACTGGACAAACTGGTGTGTGGGGAGAAGAGTCACTGGTGTATAAATGGTACTGAAGTGGGAAGAGGAGGGGTAAGGGGTACTGATGTGTGGGGAGAAGGGGATACTGGAGGTACTGGTATGGGAAAAGGGAGGAGTGGTGTACGGGGGGTCAGTGGTGTGGGGAGAGAGGGGATTGGGGTCAGTGGTGTGGGGTGAGAGGGGGACTGGGGTCACTGATATGTGGGGAAGGGGGCATTGAAGGGATTGATGTGGGGAGTGAGGGGTCTGGGGTCACTGGTATGGGGTGAGAGGGGTACTGGACAGATGGTGTGTGGGGAAAAGGGATGCTAAAGGGGCTGGTTTGTGTGGGGAGAGGGAGACTGGGGTAACTGGTGTGTGTGGGGAGAGAAGGGGACTGGGAGGACTGGTCTGTGGGGAAGGGGGCACTGAAGGGGTTGATGTGGGAAGAGGAATCTGGGGTTGCTGCTGTGTGTGGGGAGTTGGAGGAGTGGGGTCACTGGTGTATGGAGAGAGATGCTCTGGGGGGATGAGTGTGTAGGGAGGGGGGGACTGAAGGGATTGATGTGGGGAGACAAGGACTGGGGTCACCGGTGTGTGGGGAAAGGGGCAGTGGGAGGACTGGTGTGTGTGTGGGGAGAGGGAACAGCGGAGACTGGTGTGGGGAGAAGGGCAACTGGGGGAACTGGTGGGGAGAGGGAGGTGCTGGGGGAACTGATGTGCGAGGAGAGGGTTTCTAGGTGGACTGGTATATGGGGAGAGGGGATACTGGGGGCACTGGTGTATGGAAGGTACTGTTGTGTAGGGAGAGAGGGGACTGGGGTGTGGACAGAGTGGTTTCTAGGGGGACTGGTATATGGGGAGAGGGGGTACTTGAAGGCACTGGTGTGAGGGGGCTTGTTGGGGGAAGTGGTGTAAGTGGGAGAGGTTACTGGGGGTCCTGTGTGTACTGGTATGTATGAGGTACATGTTTGTATGTGTATGTTTGGGGGAGTTCTTGCAGCAAAAAGAAGTTTTGGGGGTGTTGGAGGGGGTAGGAAGAGCACTGGGGTAGAAGTGGGGCAGCTGGGATGTGGTGTGTACCACAAACGTGGAGGTTCTGGCATGGAGCGAGCTGCTCTTCGTCACCAGGACCAAAGCAAGTTCCTCATTAATTAAGTAATTGATTGTATTACCTCCTGGAAACAGCACGTCACACATGGAGTGTAGAGCTGGGCTTCTGGCCTCTCCGTTGGCAGATTTAATGGCTTGTATAAAGGTATGAGCTCACTGTTTTTTTTTCTGGTCCTGCGTATGCAGTGTTAGAGCCAATGGCTGTTCTGCAAAAGGCACACACAGATTAAAAACAGCAGAAACAAAAGCACAGAAAGGTGATATGTCACAGATTTCAATAAGAATATCAGTGAAAAGCTGAAAACGAACCCTGAATCCCTTCAGTCCCACTTGATGTACACAGCAGAGTGCAACCCCCCCCCCCCATCTTGGAAATCTTTATGTAAAGCTTCCTAAATAACTGTGCTCACACAGAGGCAGCAGCAGAACCTGCAGCCACGTACCCAGCTGATGAAACCACTGATAAATTGCTGGTGTCTCAGTGCCACAGGAGGCAAATACAGTATCAGCTCAGGTGCTGCAGGCACACAGCTCCAAGCACATCCCTTCCTTCAGTTCAGGAGCAAATTGCTGATCAGTTTCACAGGATAAGCCACAGCAACCATGCTGCAGGAGGTAGGAGCGTGTCGCACTGGGGTCATGCATATAAGCAGCACTGCCCTAAATTCTTGCACACTTTTCTCTGCTTCACTCATCTTGGCAGCCAGGGTTAAAACCACAGTGTCGTGTAATACACATCTCATACCTTCCCCTCCTGCTCTGTCCCTTAATTACAGCTTTTTGCATTAGAGATGTAGGAAAAAGAACCCAGGCTGTGCTGTTGTCTGCTATTCATCTCCATTTTTGTCTTCCCCTGAGAGTGAAGTTCCCCCTCGTGTACTCATGGCCAGAAATACAAAGCATTTATTGTCCTAATTCCCAATTATTTAGGTAGCTGAGTAAGAAGACTTGATGCCTGTATGTTTCTTTTTGCCCTGGCCCAAAAGAGAAACCAGACCTGCTTCTGCACGGGCAAGGAGTTAAATTTGCATGCTGGTTTGAGAAATGCAACTTGACTCCGTGCTTCCTGTGCTGCAGGCTCAGAATATTGGCACCTTCATTTTGCTGGCTTTGTCTGCAGCTTGGACCTGTGCCACGTTGATAGCATCGTTAACCTTTTCTCATTTACATCCAGGTCTGGAAGGAGGGAGTGTGTGTCTGTTGTCACGTGTGTCCTCCTTCCCCCTTGCATTCTCTCAGTCTTCTGATATTCTTTCCAAAGTGCTGGAGGCAAATTAACAAAGAGATACAAGGAATGGATTAAAAACAAAGACCCCTCACCCCAAACAATCTGCAGGAGCAGATTTGCAAGGAGAACTCCTCCCTCTGAGAGCAGATCCTACAGGATTCCTTCCTTCCAGCCACGCTCCTGCAGTTGCTGCTCGTGCTTTTGTTGCCCATTCATTTTGCAGTTTTGTGGGTGTCCATCAGGAGGCTGTGAGCTGAGGAGCACCTGTTTCCTCTTTCCAACCACAGCTGCATCAAGTCTGAAACCAGAAATGAATTTAAAAAAAGAAAGGAGAAAAAAAAGAAGACATTTAAATCATTTCTTAGAATGTAATCTATTGCTTCTTACTTATTCTGCAGTTTACATTGTGAGTAAGCAGCACAGTTATGATTATTATTATGTTGGTTTCTTTTTAGGAAGCTTCCTCAATAAAGATTGGAAAATCAATGGTGAAAGGAGTTGATAAAAAAAAAAAAATAAATATTGCTTTGTTCATCATTGAAAAGTGCTAATGACACTCATTATTTTTGACTCATTTCCTGGCTGGACCTTGTAGGCTTTGTAGCGTGTGTTTTTGCCATCATAAAAACACAATAAAACAACTGAAGTTTGATTAGAGGCTTTTGTAGGGGGTAGTTTGTTAGTTTTAACAGTTTTGGCTCTGTTCCCTCAGTGCTGTTAGAAACACTCGAGTGTTTGTCATCACAACTTGAACAAAATTTGGTTCCCCTCGGAAGCTGCAAGATGCCAAAATAGCCCAAAAGCAAATATAAGAATAAATCAAAGCAGAAACTGAAGCTCTTAACCGTGTTTTACTGTGCACTGTGAGCAAATACTGGAGTTTGACTGCAACAACGCTCGTTTATAGAAAGCAGAGCAGAAATGGAATGGAAATAAAGCTCTTTCCACCCCCCCTGGATTAAACCAGGAGGGCTGAACCTTCAGCAGCCTGGCTCTGTTAGCATCCTGCTTAAAATGCTCAGAAGTCTTCACACCAATCTTCTGTGCTACCTTTAAAAAGAGAACTGCAGGTTTTTGTTGTTTTTTT